TCATAAGCTTTCACATGGCAGAAACAGAAAGAACCTGGGAAAGGCCAGGCCTAGAGGCTTAGAGACTGAGGCCAGGCTGAGGCTTAGAGAAGAGTTAGCCCTCACATACAACAAGCTGTGTGTTCAATTGATAAAAGAAACAACAGCCAATGATTTTGTGATGAAATTGCACCCACTGGAGATTCAGCTCTGGACTAATTTCTAAGCCAATGAACGAACACAGTACAGGTTCGTAAAACTAATTTATTTTCCTTATTTTTTTCTCCCCTTTTTTCAGTGCATTCATATTTCCTTATATAATTATTTTGATCTACACTTTTGTTTTCTCTCTGACTTTAAAAGCCTGAAATGCATCCTGTGTTATAGATGCCAGGCAAAGTGATTATATTTATATTATATTCAAGTGTTACAAAAAGCCCAGTTGGGAAGGAAGGAAGATTGACAACTGTGCCTTTATGAAATTACATGCTGCTCCCTGCAGAATGACTGGGAGACCTGCAAGCACATACCATTTCTGAGTGTACAGCCTCCCCCTCTGTGAGATTGCCCATTAGATACAGACATCTTTCATCTAGAATTGATATACATGCACATGCAGATATAATCTGTTAATTCAGCTCTTCTTTTTCTGTTCTGACAGAGAAATTTGGGCAAGTAAGTGCTGTATGATCAACCCAGAAATGCAATACTAAGCTAGTGGAGCCTGGGCCACCCTCCTCAGGCTTCTCAGCATCAGAACATCTCCACAGGGTCACAGCAGCAGCCTCCATGTACATCACCCACCAAAAATCTTGGGAAAAACACAGGACAAGTATATATGTTGTGCTAAAACATCTCCTTCCTGCCCAGGAATGTGTGAGGTTTTGATTTTCCATGCCAGACATTGGATCTACCTGATGAACCTTCCTTGCTTAGTTTTGCTCAGTCCTTTTCTGAATACTTTACACTTTTGGCCACTGCAACATCTTGTATCCATAAATTCTACAGTTTCATTATGTGCTTTGTGGGAAAAGAAGTATCTCTGTATTCTGTGTGTATCTGCTGCTTGAAATAGGATTCTGGCATAATTGCAGAGAACAAAATAGAGGAGAAATCACAGGTGAGCAAGTGACAGTGAACATCACCAGCTTTCCCAACTCCTACAGCACTGAACTATTGTCAGTACTTAAATACCAGTCCTGGAAATGATTTAATTACTGAACGATGTTAGAAAAATACACTCACTTTAATGGACATATCCTGCCAGATTGTCCTGTGCATGTCACAGGGTCATGATTTTAACTGCAACATCACACCCACAAGGTTTTAAGCCAGCCCAGGACATCTCTAGGTTAGCACTAACTTCTCCTGGTCAACTTCTCAGCACCAGCACCTTGTCCCTGTTGTACAATGGGGATGAGAGAGGCAGGAAAATGGTGAAACAACTGAAGGAGAGAAACTATAGGTAGGACAGAGGAATGTCATTGTTGTTAGCAAATAAATGAAGCATATGGAAACTGCATTTAAGGCATAAAGGGTATGTAAGGAGTTGCTATGACCAGATGGCTAAGGAGCAAGGAGAGAGCAATTCCAGGAACTGTAGGGGAAATAGAGAGCAGAGAAAGAAGTAAAGACTGTGAACTTCATATTAAATAGAGCAAAGGGAATTGAACATGCAAACTACAGCAGTAGTTAGGGAAAAAGAAAAAAAGTTTAGAAGTCAGTAGAGGTTAGAAGTGAGACAGGAATATGCTTGTTCCCACCAGGGGAGAGATATCCTTTTTGTGGTGTCAGCATTTATCATTTTAGATGCTCCCCCACTGAGCAGGATCTCACACCCACATGGCAGCACCGCTGGGGAGAACAGAAGCAGAGAGTGGCCAGGGTGAAAGGACTGCTCTGGGATGAGTTACATGTTCCTTCAGAGCTGTTCCAGGGCCTGGGATCCTCAGACACCAAATTAAGTGTTTCTCTTTATTGTGCCTTCATCTCCCATTATTAATATTCAGATAAAGCATTTCTGTCCTTTCTTTGTCTCAATTATGAAGAGAGAAGACTCAAGGACTGACTGACAGATACTTGTATGATTTTGTCAGCAATGAGGGCCTGATTTAGCTGCAGATCCCAATGAAGCAACTATTAGATTATCCAGGATTGGAATAGAAGTCTTAAAAATTAAAATATAGGTATTTCTTGTAAAAGAAGTATAACACTCAAATAACTCAATTGCACACAATATTTACTCGTTGTTTTGGATTTATTCACCTTCTTGTCAGCTGGTTTCAGAAATATAACCTTTAACAGCACCATGCAAGGGCTTCACAAGGTAAGAAGGATAGGCCAATTGGTTTTATCCTTTCGTGAAACAATCCATCCAAAGTTAATTAGAATAGGTTTGCTTTTCTTCACAAAAATAATCCATAAGAAAGACTGATGGGCAGAGCAAACTGCATCTCACACAAAGGTGGTAGGACTTAAGTGATTTTGAGCTATGCTCCCAGAACTCAGTTGCCTTCAGGCATCTATCTGGTCTTTCTCTGTGGATGGCATAATTAGGACTTGAGTGAAAACCCCAGTGGTGAAGCCTGATAAGAAGTTAATCTTCTGGGCACCACATGGACCAGGAGAGATGTGCCAAAAAGTCCAATTAGCAAAGGCTTCCTGTCCTAGGCTGTGCCATAGTCTTGCTCAGCATTGATAAACAGCCTCAGCACCCACTGGGGTGTAGCAGCTCAGTGATGCTCAAGCCCCACACACATCACAGGGGTGAGGAGCACAGTGCCAGCAACAGGCACCACCTGCACATTATACCCACACTGCTGAAAAGCAGCTCAGTGATCTCAGCTCATCACAATTCTCCACGAGACCTTCACACTCACAGTGGGACATGTAAATCCCACAGACTCATACACCTCTCTAGTAATAGGATTCACCTCAGTGCTTTCAGCCACACACGTGGAGGCATTTCTCACTGCATTTGGGAGCACCACACAGGGTACTTCTTAATTGAACCTAACTGCAGGTTTCTTGAACCCCCTGACTGAGGCCAAGCAAGCAGGATATGGATGAAATCCATGTCATCCCAATTACAGACTGAGGCAGCTCTAGATTCACTGACAGTACAGAGCTAAAAGCATTACAGCAAGCTCAGCCCCCCTACAGCCATGTATGAGCAAGTGAGAAAAGGATAATGTTGATAATGGATGATTCCTATCATCCATAAGAGGAAAGAAAAGTTTTTGGCTATTGGAAAAACACTGCAGATCTGGAAAAGAGAGTGCCCAGCACCTGTGTTTTACAAGCCAGAGACCCTTTCTTTCATGGGAGAAAAGTACTTCCCTAATAGCCAAAGGATTGCTGAGGCACAGCATCCATGGGCTCAACAAACTTCCCTTTCGATCTAGGGATATTAAAGAGTAAATCCCAGTTTCAAGACAGGCACAGGTCACGGAGACTGCTCCTGAGGAATTTAGCTGGTGTCTCCAGACCAAGCAACTGTAGCATGGCTACGATGGAAGGAGTTAATAGACATTGAAATTGGTTTATTAAGGAGGTTTGCCAGAATTTACTGATTATTAAACCTCATTAGCTGGGGACTGGTACTCCATGTTCTTACCCAGTTGCTGCCTGCTGCCTGCTGGATAGACAGAGGGATGCTGGAGGGATTAGTTCTAAGCCCTTCCCCCTTCCCTCTCCCCTCCTCTTCCAGGACCACATTGACAGTCCTGAGGGAAACAGAGGAGAGACAGGGAGAGGGCAGGATCCACCAGCACTCACTCAGCATATTTCACCAGGAAGCCCCAGGAAGCCCAGGAGAGGAGCTGCCACTTAGGACACTGTCTCCTTCGCAGAGGATCTCTCAGTACAACATATGTTACGTGAACACATCCGACTGTTTTCCTCTTGCAGAAAAGAAGGAGAGAAAGAGAAGGAGGCAAGAGACTGCCATCTCCAGAGTGCTAGAGCGATTTTTCATGTAATCAATACTGTAAAATATCCCCAGGTCCTTCTGCTGGATTGCAGCTCAGAGGAGAGCTGAGCAGTGTGCGGCATGTGTCTCACCTGCGGGGCAGGCAGGCACCCAGCAGCAGCCCGTGGAGTGCTGGTGAGTAACTTTGGGGAACTTTCCTTGCAGCATCTGCAGTTCACTGACTTGGGGTAAGAAATGCCTTTCAATCTTTAGAGATTATCAACCAAACCAGGGGTTTGCTCCTGAAAGGGGGAAGTGAAGGAAGGGGGGGATGTTTCATTTGCTTCCCCTCTCCGAGCTGATAAAATACTTTCTGTCTGTGTAAAAAAGTTCTCTCCATGGTGGGCAAATGTTTTCTCTATCTCCTCAGTAATTTGCAGTGATATGAGGTCAGGTTGATAAGAGTAGTTACCATTTATACAGCACTTTTCCTCTTGAGGCATTTCATAAACCTCTACTAGCTCATCCTTGCAATCGCCCCGAGAGGCAGGAACGGGTGTGCAGGGAGAGGAGGGAATTGCAATCCGAGCAGTCAAGTTAAAGCAATTAGGAACTTTGCATCCAGCTGATGGCAGGTAATTGACCACTCCATCTCTAATAACTATTAAGCAGCTTAGTTGAGTTCGTGTGTGTTTAAGGGTTTATAGAAACCAGAAAGCAAAGCGACAACCACTGGGAAATAACGATCTGACGATCAGAGAGATCTGCTCGGGGAAAAGAGGATCTGCTCCCGTTTGGATCTGCAGGCAGCCGACCCTCCGTGATAATTATGAATGAGGCTGTAGCTCTCCTCTGTGCCTATGTTGCCAGACAACCAATGAGGCTGCAAAGCAAAGCTCATTCACAGGCTGCAGGTTTCTGGAAGCAGCATAGAGGTGACTTTTACTTACAAAACAGGCACTCATTAATTTTGCCATTTAGGAAAGTAGCTGGGAACACCTTTTCTCTTGCAATAACCTCTGCTATGTTTTCTCCTCCTTCCTGTATCTTTTGGCTGACAGATAACCCTGCTCTGATGCCGTTTTGGATGTCCCGGTGAGAACTCTTAGAGATGCCTATTCTCTCCAGAGGCAGTGACCAAGACTATAGTAACATTAGCTACAACTCTTGTAATTCCTTGAGCCACCTCATTCCTATCTGCGTTGAAACCCCTTCTGCCAAAGGGGTCCATTACCAGAGAGCCAGGAGGATTTACCACCCTGACCAAGTCTCTGCAGTCGATCTAAAGACAGAGATCATGATAAATGTTGGAGGCATCAAGTACCTGCTGCCTTGGAGTACTTTAGATGAATTTCCCCTGACCAGACTGAGCAAACTTAAGTTTTGCAGCAGCTATGAAGAAATAATTCAGCTGTGTGACGATTACGATGAAGACACCCATGAGTTCTTCTTTGACAGGAACCCCAATGCTTTTGGGATGATTGTCAGCTTTCTAGCAGCAGGGAAGCTGATGCTCTTAAGAGACATGTGTGCCTTGTCTTTTCAGGAGGAGCTGAGGTACTGGGGCATTGAGGAATCCAACCTGGAGAACTGCTGCTTTCGAAAACTCTTTCAAAAGCTGCAGGAGTTGGCCGAGATGCGCAAAGAAGAGGAGCTGAGGAGGAGCAAAGAAGCTGCTTGTGTCTTGGATGAGAAAACCAGATTTGGACAGTTTATGAACAGACTCAGAGATATGGTAGAAAACCCCCAGTCAGGACTCCCAGGCAAAGTCTTTGCTTGTCTCTCCATTCTCTTCGTGGCCACCACGGCTATCAGCCTTTGTGTTAGCACAATGCCAGACTTAAGAGCTGAAGAAGACAGGGTAAGTAAGTCCTTTTTAACTTATCTAACTAGAGAATGAACAAAACAATGTGTAATAGAGAACACAATGGTTTAAATTAGTTCTATCGTTTCAAAGTGATATTCTATTAAGAATAGTGTGAACAAATATTTTACTGTTTTTTTAGCTAAAATACTGGAAAGCTTCTGGACAGAACAGATATTTCTTGTTCTTGAGTATTGTTTTTCCTTCTTAAGCAGTTGCTAGTGTAGGATTAACTTCTTAGCCCTGACTCTCAAACTGACATTGTGGAGTTTTCGACATGCTTTGCTCTCTAGTTCGATGAAATATCTCATTTGGACACATCAGCTACAGAAATATTTTCCTCTGACATATTTCCTTTTAAAACAGCTGAATATCTTCCCTTGTGATAATACAGTCAAATCTTTAAAGAGGAGGAAATAGTCATTAATTTTTATATTGTCATAATGTTAAATTTCATAGTTGCCTAAAGATTAAAGGATGAGAGACATTCAGTATTTTCACTGATAGCTAAAAGCTGTGCCTCCAAAAATGATTCAGCCCTAACAGAAGTCTGTATTTGCCCCCATATATATGCACATCTTGTAGTTGCAATGCCAAGCACTAGCTGAACTGCTAACTGCATTTAACCCCTCTCAAATAAATCACCCACATTAATTCAAGGCAAAAAAATCAAACCTGCATCATACATGAAGGATCTTCTCTATAACATTGCTGTGAATATTTCAGCATTTAAAAGATTCATTTTCCTAATAATAAAACAGAGGGAAGTAACAATCCAAAGTTATTTCAAATGTATTAATGTGCACATTCACGAAATAACCTTGACTAATCTCTGTAATGAATCCTGCACTACATTTGCAAACTGCCCTTCCAAAAGTGTTGAGGAAATCCATGTCCAATAAACTCCCTGCCCCAAGCACTGCTGTAAGAAAAGACACTCCTCAGAGTATCATATATTGATGAATAAAGTCATTTTTACATTTATAGCACAGCAGTGTGTGAATGGCACAAAACTCTGTGTATATTTTACTGCTTAAGCAGTAACTCAAAGCAGCACATCATGCTGAAGATATGTCATGATATTTGATGTCTTTGAGTAAAACTAAGGACTGCACAGAGGGCTGAAATTTAAGATCATTCCCTGTACCCTGATATATTGATGAATAAAGTCATTTTTACATTTATAGCACAGCAGTGTGTGAATGGCACAAAACTCTGTGTATATTTTACTGCTTAAGCAGTAACTCAAAGCAGCACATCATGCTGAAGATATGTCATGATATTTGATGTCTTTGAGTAAAACTAAGGACTGCACAGAGGGCTGAAATTTAAGATCATTCCCTGTACCCTGCCCTTGAATCTAAGGACTGCACAGAGGGCTGAAATTTAAGATCATTCCCTGTACCATTTTAACCCCTTGAATATTATCTTACACTTGCTCAGGAGGATTACAACCTTTCAGGAATAAGTCTGGTGCTCTTGCAGCTTTCCACAGCTATTACTTTTTTGGCAGGAAAAACTGTTAACACTGTTCCAATGCTTCTTCCAAGGAAGTACTTTAAATATAGAACATCCTTCTTACAGCTAGATGTACAAACATTCAAACTGCTCCAGCAAGTGCTTCCTACTAACTTTGTTAATGGAAGTAGTCTGATGCATTTTATCTTAATTTCCCAACCACTGCAGAAAAAGCTTTTATAAATACTTGCCATGCAAAAGAACAAGGACAAGATGTTTCAGAGCTCAGATAGATCTAATGTGTTGTGTGTTTTAAAAATGATTAACTATGTTAGAAAGGGAAGAACGAGGAGGGTTCTATGTGTATCTGGTAGCTGCAGTGGAGCTGCTGCTCCTGGATTTCCTATAAAACACGGACGACATTACTACTTAGAGATTTGCCTATCTATCACTACTTTAAAACAAGCAAAACTGGATTCAAACAAGCTCAAAAGATGGAATGTTCAAAGTGCAGAGGATGAAAGATGAACTTGAGCAAAGGAGTACATTTGCCCAAGTATTTGGAAACATTCCATACTTTACACTTACAGCCCCAGCCTAATGCATTTTGTCACTGTGTCCCAGGAGCACAGAACAAAGTATTAAAAGTCCTATTATTTGAATCATGTGAAATTATGCCAGACAAAACCCAGGAGAATGTCTGAGACAAAATACTCATGTCTTGTAGAAAAGCAAAGAATCTGAACCACCAAAGAGCAGTTTTTCAATCCCTAAAAATGGGGAAATTCCCTGAATTTCCACCCCTAATTTCTTAGCCTGCAACACCTTCTTACTGGGATCTCAAAAGAACACTTCAGCTAGAATTGGATAAATAACTCTAGGAACTTTATTGCCTAAAAATACTACTTCTTGGCTGCAGCTGAGTCATACTTAGGCAAATTGCAACTCTGTGTTGATATGTAACTCTAAACTGCTCACTGCCCTCGGAAAAGGATTCCAAGATGGGACCACATTTAACAGCAACCTGGGCCAGGCATGCAGAATCTGAAATCTTGGCTTTTTGGGCTGAACATAAAGAGGGCTCAGTGACAGAAAACAGTCAAATTCCTTTACAAAGTTTCTGAACAACCTGCAATTCCACACCTGAATTTGAAGATGCTCTATCCTGAGGTTTATTCCTTTCTGAGTTAAAGCTTGGCAAAATCTCTGTGGCAAATGTGCTTACAAGTGCTGCAAGAATCCCTTTTCCAGTGTCACTAACACTGGAAATTGAATTTTCCCACATTTATCCATTCTGAAATACAAACAAAAAAAGGGTTTACCTCTGCTGCATGTGCACCTCTCTAGGGTCCTGTTTCTGCTCATCACAGCCACATTAAGCGAGTGAGAACTGGCTGAACTCCAGCTCAAGAAGGATCAGAGTCAAAAAAAAACCCCAGGAAAAATAATGCAAGGTGACTTCCACTTCACTCACTCCACTCAAAGGCTGCTGATCCCACCCTGCAGGCACATCAAATCCCTTGTCCTTTTAGCAGTTGCTAAACCAGGTCTGCTCAGAAGGGAGAAAAGCTGCCTGGGCTGGCAGAAGAGCAAACAGGAGTCCTCACCATCCGAGGGAAAGTGAAAACTCCAGTCTCCAGGAGAGGGATGGCAAGGAGCCAAGGCAAGAGCATCTGCATCAGGGAAGCCCAGTCACCCTGGCAACCAGAGGGGAGGGAAGGAGTCATCTCCATGGGCAGCAGAGAAGGGAGGGGAGGGTTAGCTTAAAGACAGGAACACAGCTGAAAGTAAAATCAAGAAGGAGTTGTTATAATTGATGCCATACCCACACTCTAGAATATGTCAAATGCCATTTAGGAACCTCCTCATTAGAGGTGTGAAAGAAAAAAGGCAAACAATTCTGTGAGTATATATCACATAAGCACCTGCCATGAATCCCAGCCTAGAGTGAAGAGTCCCAGGCAAAGGAGGCCAAAAGTGCAGCAAAACTCCAGAGCAGCAAATGATTAACTCTAGTGATCTCAAGTTTAAGTCTCACCATGAAACAAATATACAAAAGGTTTTATTATATATGATGCTAAGGAAAGAGGAGTCATCAGTAAAAAGTTACGTTATTTAGGCATAAACCAACAGAAATGTCACATGGACCAAGGGCAATTCATCCTTTATGATATTTTCATCTATTCTTTTCAGAGATCAAATTGTCTTTGGTAAGGAAGCTAATACAGTGTCACCAAAATATAGTGTGTGTATGTAGAGACAGAAAAAAAGGCATATTTGGAGGTGAGGAAGTCTGTTATTGATCTGAATGGGTGGCCTGAAAGAACTGCAGAAAGAGACACATGTACAGGATAAGAAAGCTGAAGTGACAAAATCTACCAGTATTGCCCTCAAAGGAATTCATATCATCCCACTAGAGACAAGGCAAAAGTCCCCTGAAAGTCCCAGTCCCACAGAAGAGTTACAATCAGGATCCAAGAGGTGCAATTGAAACATTCACAAAGGAAAAAATCATCATTACACCAGAGAACTATGGAATAAAACCACTGCAGAAGAGCCTGGAGAGGGAGAAGCTTTGAAGCACTCTTGGGATTTTCCTTAGGACGAGATATTTCATTTAATGAGTCCCTAAAATTGGCATCCTCTAGAGAAATGACTCAGCAGAAAGGATGTAGCAAGGTCTTTGCTTCAGGAAGGCAAGTAAATTAAGGTCAGGGGGAAGAAAAAGAATAAGAAACCCCAGATATTTCCATTCCCTGACCTTCTTACTACTAATTTCTGTATTTGCTCTAACTGACCTTGAGGAACTTGTGATTGCTTTAGGTATTGTATAGAACCTAAGGAAACACAATCAACATAAGCTGCAAACAGTGTTGTCTCATGTGAAGATTTTCTCTAGAAAATCAGAATATTCATGTCTTTAAAGCTTCCATTCCTGGGGAATGGAATTTGATTATGTGAAAATCGAATTCCTTTTCAAAGAGTTAGTTTTTAGTCTCTGGTTGCACTGAGAATCCAGAAAACATGAAGAGAGGAAAAGAACTTGATACCTAAGCTATAGAACCCCTTTTAAATTATTTTGTTCATTCTATACCATCATTCTGGAGGCCCTGACTTATGTTTTTTAATGTTTTCTGTTGCTGAAGTTGTCTTTATAATACTAAACCCAGAATATTTGGCTCATACACTGGAGGAAACTGCCAAGTAACACTTTTTTTTTTTTTTTTGCAAAGTGGAAGAATTTTTACTTTATAGGGGATAAAACCAGTTTGTTGGTCTTCCTGTGAAAAAGAAAGAAAATCTAATGCTCATTTAAAAGTGTAAGACTATAAAGGCGTGTGTGTACATGCCTAGCTATAAATATCTTGGTATATACATATGATTTGAAATCTCTTGGGCCAAAATAAAGCTGAATGTGCTTTGGGTTTATTGCATGTGCTCAAGCACATTTTTCTGTGTTCTCATCAGGACACTTACTGTGGACACCCCCTCTCCTATATTACCTAGCCATCGAGTACAAGTCTGATTTCTTCTAACAC